GTAAATAAGCACGGAAATTGCGTCGCTCGGGGAGAAAGTTTCCACGTTATCTTATATCTGTAGGTATATATATCCGGCGATCTATTTTGTAATTATTAAGTAAAACGGAATTATATTGCGTTCAGCTCGGTTATTCCGCGACTAGGTATTTTTAGACCAAAAGTATACGATAGACAAAGTGTCGGCCGACTGTTGTGTTTATGTCAAATCCATATTATAGAAAATCCATAACAATGTATTACCGAGAAAAAGATTTATTTGGACTCGAGAGTTCTATTTATATTTGTTGCATTGAAACGAATTTAACTTTTAGTTTTAATGCAAATTACATTCATAATTTGAACATTCATTTGGTTAGATTATTCTTATGCATAAATTTGTTTAATTTAAAGAAATCTTTTCTCTATATATGTAATCGCACGGGAAAAATCGCTTTATGGAAGTGTCTAAAAATTTAACTAGATACAAATGTAAAAATAAACTTTGTTGGACTATTAAAATAAGTATGTCGAGGACGCTTGAATTGATTGCTAGAATATTAAAATTTTTTGCAGCGTTAGTTGCTATAATGCTCGAGTTTCTTACATTCTAAAAAAATATGGATGTCACTTTGATACTATATGTATTTAATATTTGTTTTAAATCCACCATGGTAGTGTTGACATTTACACCAAGGGTTTAAAATCCACATCTTCAGGGTTGCCACAGACCTGGAAAAGTCAGGAAAATTGAAATTGGTCATGAAAAGCGGGAAAAGTTAGGGAAAATGTAAAAAAGTCTGGAATTTCAGAATTTGCTCACTATTTCCTTAAATTGCTCCTATTCCAAATAATTGTTATAATTTTTTATTCTATTTGACGTTTATAGTTCAAAACTTGCACACTTTAAACGATTTTAACAAAACAATTCAAATTTATCTTTTATTCAGTATTTTTATTTAATCCCTCTTTTTTGTCGTAACACACACATTGCATTCTTTTTTCAAAACTAATTTATTTTTTACTGGCTTGAATTTGCACCCAAAATTTTACTATGCTACTAAACTTTTTTTGCGTTTTTAATAATATAGCTTTCCTACAATCCTTGAGTCTAAATGTTAAAATTTACATATTTTATTAGTTATGGAAAATTTTCCATTTTCATCTGAAAAAGTCAGGGAATTTTAAAATTTATTTTCTGCAACCCTGAATTCTTGTTCATGTTAATATTAACATTAACACGGTGAGAGTTATATAGACACCACGTTATTAATCTACACCCATATTTTTTAGTGTATTCTCTAAATTTCTTGCAGTGAAATCTCACTTCAAGAAAGTGAAAATGCAACCACCCTTGAAAAAAAAGTGAAAATAGTTCACTTCTTGAAAAAGACAATTTTCACTCTTTTTAAATTGAATTTTCACATCAAAGGAGTGAAAATACTCCAAAAAGAGTGAAAATTATCACTCTTTAAAAAAAGTGAAGAATGGTTGTATTTTCACTTTCTTGAATTGAGATTTCACTGCAAGAAATTTAGAATGTACATAATTATTTTTACTTTATTCACATAATTATTTTGACGGCCCAAAATTATTTTTAAATCTGTATCCATTTTTAAATACTTCAACAAACCTGTTCTTTTCCTGCGTGTTCATGGATACGATACAATTTTTATTATTTTTCATAAACGACGTAACAATTTTGGCCGACATTTTATCTTTACTTTACCGTGCGCTCTTTCTCTTATCCGTCAAAACATTTGACTGGTGCACGTTTTATCGTTATCACGATTGTCCAACTTGAAGATGATTAAAGCCAAGTCAGCTTAGCTCTTTCGTCATTGTGGTCGCGTGCGTTTATAATCAACCTCGGTCTCGAATACAACGGGTACGACCCAGTTCAGTCCGCGCGTTTCGTTTGCATATTTGGTTTGCATACCGAGTACAAAGAGTGTTCTTTACTGCCACGTCACGGGTTTAAAACTGCGGTTAACATTACGCCACGCTCCATGGAAGCGTGTAGAGTCGAAAAGAAAAAATTAATTCGGGAATTACTCAGGAAACTGTTAAACAGTTGGACTATACTCTGAACGTATCTGGACTTTCGGTTCGAAAGCGGGCGAAATTAATGATTTTTACGTTATGTAAAATTGTGATATCTTAGGACTCTTATCAGGGTTGCCACAGACCTGGAAAACCCGGAAAAATCAGGGAAAAATGCAAAAAAGTCTGGAATTTCGAAATTTGCTCAATTCCTTGAAACAGCTCCTATATTCCAAATAATTGGTATAATTTTTTAAATATTATATCTGACGTTTATAGTCAAGCACGTTTAAACGTTGCACACTTTAAACGATTTTGATAAAATAATTAAAATTTATATTTTATTTAGTATTTTTATTTGATCCCTTTTTTTCGTCATAACTACATTCTTTTTTTCCAAAACTAATTTATTTTACTGTGGTTTGAATTTGCACTCAAAATTGTACTATACTACTAAGCTTTTTTTACGTTATTTTTATTAATATAGACTAGCTTTCCTTTACAATCCTTGAGTCTAAATGTTAAAAGTTACATATTTTATATTACTCATAGAAAATTTTCTATTTTCATTTGTAAAACCTGGAAAAGTCGGGGAATTTTAAAATTCATTTGTCAACCCTGTTTATGCCCTTTCTTTACCTAAGATATTGAATTTTAAGGAGTCATTATTAGTTATAATTTATTTTTATGGTAAAATTGTGACTTAAACATTAAAGAAGTCAAACGAAAGGCACGATCGTTATTTCTATTTGTATGGAAGATATGTTTGTTGGAAAGGACTCATCGCGTTGTAATGCGATGCAACGCGATGCAATGCGATGCAATGCGATGCAATGCGATGCAATGCAATGATATCGAGACACGCACTCGCACATAGCGCGTCGCCTCGTTAGAAATATGTCGCGCGCAAGTTTCTACATTCTCCCTTAACTGCCTATAATCTTATATTACGGTGTTCCCATTGCTAGGTATGTTTCCGTATGCTGCGCGTGTAGCCGCGATTTCTATGCTAAACGCGCGGCACAAGCCGAGAAATGGTAGTCGGCAACTCCGGCGCATTACATTTTCGTTTCGTTTCCTCTCTTCGAAGAACAAGGATAACCTTGCAATCCCGCACGACGGAATTTCTGAGGGAATTGACTCGTCTATTGGATATATCGAAGACACGGGCCGCATGTGAGTTTAGTTAACAAAGCTTTATGTGATCGTGATATCATGAGGATATGTCGCGTGTATTATTACCGGAGAACATTGAACGCCATTGTGTGGTTAGCCTCACTGTTCTTCGATCAAACAGACTGATTATGTAATTAATTATTCGCAGTTCAATCGTGTTACATTAAACATTCTGGACTGGTGAGCAGATAAACAGCGATTATCGTGTCAATTTAAATACATAATCTCTATTGATTTTGGCAAAATTTGATTCTCTTTTGCTATACGTACGCAAATAATGCATAATTATAATATTGAGAGAATCGATACTATTGTACATTTGCATGACCGTATATTTTAACTAGATGATGGAAAAAAAATTTATTCATTGAAAAAATTATTAAATTTTAATAAATATTTGTTCAAGTTGTACGAACGAAACATTTATTTACAGTAAATAAATATTTATTCAATACAAATAATGATATTTAAATTAATTGTTCTTACCAAATAAATATGTTTAAATTTATTAAAAATGTTTAATAAATATTTAGTTAGTACTATTCAAACAAATGTTTATAAAAATTTATTAAATTTTGTTCCAATGTTGGATATATATTGTAAGGTAGTGCAATCTGATTCATAGCGGAAAATATCAAATTATATTTCTTATTTTACGATATAATTACATAAACATGCCGGTAAAATTTTTCCTTTTTCTGAAAACGGTCCTTTGAAAATGACTTTTAAAGAAGGTTGTGCATTACTGTAATGTATAGAAAGCAGCTTAAAAGTATTAAAAGCAGCTTTTAAGAGATATCCGTAGCCTCCTAATTGATTCCTGATTCATTCGTTCGCCAGATATTAGATGTTGGGAAAGTTTAATCGGGTTAACGAAAATCGACGTATTAGGAAGTTTATCGTATTTCGGGGAAAGAAATCGAGGAATTAACGCCGGTCCCGGCATTCTCACGCCCACGACCGGTCACTCGGAGGAACTAAATCTGTAATTGTGCAATGAATCTTCGGTGGTGCGCATCCTGCGCGAGTACCGACGACGCACGTAGGAAAGAGTTATCGCGACTCACGGAGAATTAATTGTCGCTTCTGCTTTAAAGCAGTCTCAATGGAAAGAGCCGTCGGCAATGGAAAGTAGAAATAATTAAATTCTAATCTCGCCGAGTTTATCATTCCGGAGATATTTCCGTCGTTTATCAGCAGTTAACCGTAACACCAGCCATTATAGCTTAAAATAACTTAAGATAGCTGTGCATGTTTTTTCACTGAGACATGTCGTATGTAGTATGCGTAAACTTAAGAACTGTTGTATACCAATTCTGGCTAATGAATTCTGGTTAATGAAAGAACTTTTCGAGGGATCGACCTTTTTTCACGGGACGTTATGGACACATAAATCTGTATACGTTAGCACGTATTACGGACTGTGCGTGGCATCGTAATTCATCGTCCGTTAAATCGCCTCGTTCACCTTAATGATGCCACTGGCGTGGGAAAGCCGTTTTACGAGGTGACGTGCGTTCATACGCCGTCTTTTATTGCATTTATCCGGTCAAAGAAATCGCATTGGCCACGCGAGATCGTCAATCAGATTGATGGTGTGTTGGTAATCTATCGATACATATCATAGTTTCGACAAATGCGTGCTATGTGTTCATGCCGGAGATGACGTACGAAACTGTAAAAAACCGGATCCGATTATGTAAATCTATTCTATTATTTACGTCTGTCAGACGGGGAGTTCGCGATGCGATGCAACGGAGGAAACGAATCTTTTCTGAAGAATTCTTTATCTATATGTTTCAGGAATAATGAAGAGAGAAGCCGAGGCTGGCGCTATGACAGGTTCCGGGGGTCCGACGAGCCCTCATAAGCGCTATCGACAGGGTGACGATGAACTCCGTCTTCTCATCCCGAGTAAAGTGAGTGTCGTCGATCGATACGTCGCGGTATCGCGAAACTATCATCCAAAATCCGCTTATAATTGGTGTCAGATTGTAGGATAAAATTTTATTTTTAATTTAATTTTGTGTTATTTGATATTATAATTTTATTTATTATTTTATTTCACGTGCTTTTAATACAAGGAAAGAACAATTTTACCGAATCAAAGTCTAAAAATTTAGGTACGTACAGATCGGAAAATAATTTTGTTGAACCATCAAAATAATTAAATATGTAGGGAACTCAAGTGTGATGAGTAATGCAGTAAAAAGTTGTGACGTTTTAAAAACCAGTTTAAGCATCCACAATTATTTTTCGTCTAACAAAATAATTTTTAAACCTGTATCTAATTAAATTTGTAGGTATCTAATTAAATTAATAAAATTTTATTAAAGCAAAACAGTTCTTTCTGTGCGTATATTTTATGTATGTGTATGTTTTGATACTCTACAAACATTTTTTGTATTATATACGATGTATAAAATTATCGACAGAATTTTATCCTGAACTCTGACACGAATTGTAGATCGCCTCAAGCAGGCTTTAAACTTAAAGCCACGCAACTACTTAAAGTTGCGTTCTTCCGCCTGTTTTTGCCGAGGACACTGTTTTGTCCCGATTTCTGACTAAGGCCCGTTTCTACCAATGTAGATTAACTTTAATTTCAGTTCAACTTACTCTTTATCTTTTTCTAATTCTCAGAACTGGAAAAAGATGAAGAGTTAGTTAAACCGAGATTAAAATTAAACTATATTGGGCTGTCACTAACATAAGTGATTAATTTATGTATATTTTTATTAACATAAAGGCATAAATTATTATTAATAATCAAGCCTTTATGTCAATAAAAATATACATGAATTAATTACTTATGTTAATGACAGTCCGTAATATAGACTTTAATTGAATTAATAGCATTTTTTTCTCATTGTAGAAACGGGCCTTAGGGTCTCTTTCACCAATCTCGGTTAAGTTAACCGACAGTTACACGGGGCTTATTTAGGTCCAGTTTCACAACTAATCGTTAATTTTTAACCGAGGTTTAACTTATTTTAAGTTAAATCTCGGTTAAAAGTTAGCCATGAATTCAATGAAAAATTAGTCATGGTTGGTGAAAGAGATTCTGAGGCCGGTCACTCACGTTCAAGTAAATTTATCAAGTAAACTTGCACAAGTGGTTTGTGCAGCCATACTTGACAACAAGTTTACTTGAACGTGTGTGGTCGGCCTAACATTTATTGACGTGTGATATGGAAGCCTTTGTATCGTTCCCCGAGTCGCAATCGTCGACGATCGGAAATGTTGATGATTGACAACGCCTTCTTCGTTTCTTCGACGGGCGTGTAGCGTGCGTTCCAACAGACAATGCGAACGAACAGATCGGACGTGCTTCCCACGTGTTTCACCATTGGGTCACTGTATTTTCCAGTCACGCGTACCCGGTTTGGCTCTTTTCGCCGTTGTATCTGTACGCGAATGGGAGTGCGGTAAAACGGTACGATGTTGCTCCCATATGAGTAACACGGTACCACCTCACCTCCGACACGTCCATTTTCATCGCGGGACAGCCGAGGCTCTTCCGGTCATTGTCGCCATGCTCGGCGAACCGTTATCGGTTTCTCTCAGCTGCTTTCTTTCCCCCGCGGGAAATCTTGGTGAATCTGTGAACGCGTCGAGATCTCGGGAATTTTTCGGTGGACCGAGGGAAATGTCCATCGTCTGTGCATCCTAAGGCAGATCGTGCCTTTCTTAAGGTTGCCTTTAGTGCCGTAAGTTCTCCATCTTTATTGCCGATATATCGTCAGACCGGATGTTTCTCGACTGGGCGGATATTTTCTTGCGCCACCATTTCCTCCGCGTTACAATAAGACGCAGCAGGCGAATATCGCGATTGCAGCCACCGCCGCCGCCGACGTTGCCGCCGTCGCCCGCTTTCGAGGGCATCGGGAGAGAAGTAATATCGTGAATCGAGGTCTATCTGTACCTCCTTTCGCTCGGTAGTGATTGATTGTAGCATTGAGAATATCGAAGGGAGCAGTAAAGCACTCGTTTTCTTACGCTTCCTTTGTTCGATGTATTTTCGGAGGAGGATACCGAAGATTCTATCGCGTAACTTTGTACAAGCCGACCAATAGGGAATGATATTTTTTCTATCTTACATTTTCTATCTTATTTCTTTCTCCGCGGTTTCCTTCGATATTCTCATATTGGATTGGAACAAAAGTTCTTAGCGCTATTTTATTTGTATCATGTTTGTTTTTTTAATTGATAATTATACCATTCGATAAAGCAATTTCAGCTTTAAGAACCTGTTTTTAAAAAAAATTGTTGTACGATTTTTGACAGAGTTATTAATCAAAGTCAAAATACTTTTTTTGTTTAATCCCCGATAATTGAATAACAAAAAAAAATTTTATTTAATGATTTTGTAGGGAAAATTTAAGCTTTCACGTTAAAAAGTCGAAAATTTTCGCAGATATTTTCGGAGCATGTGACAAGTTTCCAAAAAGAAAAGAAAATTTCCCATTTTGTCCAACTCGTAGTTTTCTATATGTAAAAATTATCAAATTCATAGAAACTCAAAAGACATAGTGACTTTTCGAAAGTAGGAAGAGTTTGAATTTTAAAATCCTTTTTTGAAATTTAAATTTTGTTCCATTTTTTACAAAGGTATAGCTGCTTGAAATTTAAAGTTCATAGCACTATGAACTTTTATCTCACCTAACATCGATCTGTGTCGCTCGCAACAATGATACAGAATTTTTTTATAAGTAATCAAACTCAAAATTCTTTTTATTTAATCCGCGATAACTCAGCAAAATAAAAAAATCGTACTTTTTGTAGGGAAAAACGTTTGTAAGGAAAACCCGATTTTATATACACTGTTAGAAATGTAACCACGAGCTTCCTTTAGGTAGGTACATGTATCTACACTGTTAGAAATGTTCTTAAATTTCATTAACTTTTAAGTTACACAATTGAATTTAATTTGAATTTAATTTCATGACATTACATTAAATTTAATGTATTTGTAACTAAAAAATATATTTATGTACATGTACATAAAATTTAAGGTATTTTCATGAAAATTTATGAAATTTAATGTACTTTTCATAAAATTTTTTTAAAAGTACATTAAATTTCATAAATTTAATATACAGGTTCATTACATTTAAGTAACTACTGTAACTAAATTTTCAGTTAAATCATTCATTATTTTTAATTTTGTTCATAACCACGAGCTTCATTACATGTAAAGGAAGCTCGTGGTTACATTTCTAACAGTGTATAAATGAAATTCATGGTTATGAATGAAATTAAAAGTAATAAATGATTTAACTTAAAATTAAGTTACAGTAGTTAGTTAAATGTAATGGACATTAAATTTCATAAATTTTCATAAAAAATACTTACATTAAATTTCATGTAATGGTATGAAATTAAGTTCAAATTTTAGTGCAACTTAAAAATGTATTAAATTTAATGGAATTTTGAACAGTGTAAGAGAAAAACTTGGAGCTTTCACGTTAGAAAATTATTTTCGCGAGTTCCGCGAGTTTCGCTACACAAAGATCATCCAGTTATCGAAATAATGCCGACTCGATGTTGTCCTTAGCATAATCCCGTAAACTGTTCGCACTTCCCGCACGCTAATAAGCTTAATTGAATGGAATGACTGATCGTCACGAGGGATCGCAGATAAGCGCGCCGTCATCGTCCATCGGCACGCGAACATCCAAAAAAAAAAACTTAACATCGCGTGAAATGATATCCGGCGCGCGTGCACGAGGAAGTTACAGCTCGGCTGCGTTTCCTTTAATTATCACAGGTCACCTCTGATGAATGAGACAGCAGGAAAATTTGCGAATTCGACGCTATCCCGTCAGGGGTGTTGCTCGACTTTCAAGCGAGACTCGACCTTCCTTGGAACGTGACATCATCATGAACGGCCCTGGTGCGGCGATCGCGCCTTTAATTTCGTAATGGACGACAAGAGCGATGTATGTGTTTTATCGAGGTGGTGTGCTCTCCGATGCGTGCGATTTAATCGGCGTCGCGAGGGCGCCTTATTGTGATCCAGCTGGCCGAGCACGAACGAACGTTCGTTGCGCTTGATCGCGGTCGAATCTTGGCTATGTAATCGACGATATCATCGCGCGCTGTTATTGGTACACGTTGTGTCAGGGACGACCGCATTGTGTACAACATTACTGATAGGTAGCGCGACCTTCGCAAGAAGTCGCGTAATTAGTCACGCTCTTGGAGAAACTTGCCGGGAATTTGTATGAACGTGTGCAAGATGTCTTGGGAGTTCCACGGATCATTCCTTCCGTTGGTGAATTTGTACTTTCTCGAGTGAAGGATGAACGCCATCGCCGTCATCCAGATGAAAATGATTGCATTCCTACGTTCTATGTCATAATATGCCGCGCGCATCGAGGCGCGTCCTTGACGCGCCTTCTCGTGGAGGAGAAAGTATTAATTGCCAGACGCGCATTGGAGTTTATTTAATTAACTGTCAGAACACGACGAGTCTGTCGTTAAAAGTGGCGCACTGACCGTGATAAGACGTGCGCGGCGTGACTAATCCGCAAAAATCCGTAGATCGCATATCGAGTTGTAATTATCTTGCAGTTTCGCGAGAAACTGGCGATCGTGCGGGCATCGGACATGTGCCGGAAGTCTGCAGTAAAGTTAAAAGCCTAACTAGAAGTGGACGTGAGGTTTTCTTTTATCGCGGGCATCGGACGGGTCTGGAGAAAGCGAAATGTTGATGCACGAGCCCGGGGCTCGTGACGGGAGAATGGAATTTCCTTATTTCATCCTCTTTATACTACGAGGCGGATTATCTCACTTTTAGATTTTTCGCTCATTAAATATTTACCCTTGCCGGTCACGCCCTCAATGAGAGATACGTTTAATTAACGTTACAAAGACTGAGAAGACCACCCAGATATAGATATATACGGGTACACCTAACCCTGTAATCTCTCCGACGGAAGTTTAGACAGTAAATATTTGTAGGCATTACTTACTGTCACTTCTTTCGAACCGCAATTTTTCTTCGAAAATATCTTTAACAGGTTGAAGATATTTACTTAACCTTATAATCGTTACTTATTTAAGTTAAACTTTATCTTGTGTTGCAGGTTGCTGGTTCAATAATCGGCAAGGGTGGTCAGAATATCACGAAACTCAGAAGTCAGGTAAGCTTTTGCGCTTTGATTCGTCTGTAACTTCGCTGTAGTTTCGTTTCCTGTCTGTCTATCTTCTCATGAAACTCCTTGCTATACGAGCAAGCATGAAAGAGATAGAAAGGCAAGGCTCGTACAAACGATCAAACGGTAGATCGTAAAAATTATCTTCGAAACGTGTTCTAAAGCACTCATTTTATGTACTACAAACCGATACATTTTTACGATCTTCTGATTATATTTTTTATGTTTAATTCTAATTATATCGGATTTTCAGTTGATTGAGAGTCATTTTTGTTTTGCCTGTCGATTTTTCCAGCGACTAAGTTGATTGCCATATTGATCAAAAACGCGCGGCTTACTTTTCTTATGCGCTGTCTATGGATCGATGACACGAGTGCCTGTAACGTAATTAACCCTTTAGCTCCTTGGAGCCTTTTAACTTCGTTTGAAACTAAAATAATTATGGTTTATGTAATTATGGCAGCGGTAAAGGGTTGATACGCGAAGATTCATGTAATTTGTGTAAAGAGCCGCGCGCACAAAAGGCTTTGTCGTGAGAATTTGTTTCGCTAGGCGCTCGTCTCGTTTTCCAAAGACGCTCCGCATCCGTACGAGCTTCATTATGCATTTGGTTCCTTGAAAGACGGGGTGCTTTCCTCGTCTCTCGTGTATCTCGCACCGTACACCCATATCAATGTTTCATGAGACATTTATTACTTCTTAGTTGCAAGAAAGTCTTGGGTGTCGCTAGCTTCGATTTTACCTCGCGTCATATTTTAAGAGTGACACGCGAAATTTTCTGCATGCAGTAATGGTCGATGACGAAAGAATTCTTCCGTCGGAATGTCAATGGAGATCTCGACGTGGACGAATCCTCTCGTTTTTGCGCGATAATCGATATGTCACGCTATTTTTACGTTAATGTAATATGACGTTTAGACTACGCGTTGAGAATCTCTCGGTCATATTTTAATTCGTTGCCCTGCTTGAACCAAATGAGTACATGAACATGCAGTACATCTTAGCATTCCATAAGTTGTGCTCGTTTCCGCCAATGTTGATTAACTTCAATCTCGGTTCAACTTACTCTTCATCTTTTTCTAGTTCTAAGAATTAGAGAAAGATTAAGATTAAATTAAACCGAGGTTAAAGTTAATCTCTACGCAATAAAATACATTCTGTACGTAAATAATAATTACTTGTTTCAAATATTTCAAATGTTCGTATATCCGCAAATCTATCAAATTCATCACAAGTATCAAATTTATTCAGAATGTATTTTGAATCCTAGTAAGGCCCAGTTTCACAACTGATTGTTAACTCTTAACCGAGTTCAACTTATTCATTATCTCTTTTCAATTCTAGAATTGGAAAAAGATGAGAAATAAGTTAAACCTCGGTAAGAGTTAACCGTGAGTTGTGAAACTGAGCCTAAGTTCAATACTTTAATCAAGATTATTAAATTAAAACGAATTCAATTTGTTTAGTATATATAAAGTCGCTTTTTCGATAAATTTTACAATATCTTTCAAAATAAAATAAATTTATAATAATTTATAGTTTTCCTAAAATTAGTAAGTATATTTTAAGATTATAATGAAAAAAATATTCTTTGTTAAATATAATCGTTTCTTAAAAGGAAGAACATAAATTAAATATTTAATTATTTTTCTTAGCAATGATATCTTTTTGTGGGTACGTTGGTGGAAACGGGCATTAGAACGATCTTATCAGCGCTGTGACTCGCAATCAATTCATAGTCAATTAGTTAATTAGTTTACTGTAATCTAAAATAAAATGTGGCAACAAAGTATCACAATTTCATTGATCGTTGCAAAATCGGCAGATACCGACCATCTGCGAAACTATTGAATTTTGTTATGAAACGAGAAAGATGTCTGCCGATTTTGCCATATACTGTTATTTCAATTCACCATAAATGTAACATCGATATTCCGTGATGAAATATGAATAAAAAAACACCTCCGCTGGAATAGCTGAAGGGGAGAGGAGGGGCACTGTAACCGTATCTTTCGTATCGTGTTCGTAATTGCTAATAAATTTTCCGCGATACGTTTACACTATTCCATTACTTGCATTAATCATCTCTCCGAATCACAGTGGGCGTTTCAACGAGAATTTTGGAGTGTGCAATTTTAGTTATCGTATCAAGCTACGATGTTTAAAGTGCACTCTTGGGGAAGGGACAGAGGGTATCGCGTAAATATCGCGCTTTAATCGTACGATTGTAGTGCCTTGGCAAATCACTCGGAAAACCTCCGCCGTACGATTTTGATACGCCGGCGAGCGAAACACGTCCGGTCCATCGAGAATGTTCCGTGCACACGCACGTCCTACGTTCGAGTGCACTGACACACGAATGCGTCTTTCTCTCGATGAGTGCCGTGATTTGCGTCTTCTGGCGTCTTCATAAATAAACGAGAGAGCACGGAGACGAAATCACGGTAGAGTAGCGAGATTCCAACGCGGCTGCGTACCCCCTAGACGGAAAAGTTGGATACAGCACTTTGGGAAGCGGCAATTAACGAGGAGTTGTGTGTTGAACGAATTATTATTGAAACACTATTTGAGAAGATTCAGTCGTTATTGAATGCGTAAGATAACTTTACAGATCTTGAATATAATAAGTCGATTCATCATCTACATTATTAGTCAAGTCTTGTTTTTCATCAATGTAAATTACACCGGATGGAACAAATGGAGCAGCATGATTATCGGTATAATAACGGATATTCAATTAGTTCTGATAGCTTGAAAGGATCATTTTAATACGCCGGGAGATATCGGAAGTTCTAGTCTCAAGTTCACTTTGCCTGGTAAATGGCACAATGCTCTGGTCGTTATTCCCGAGTGCTGTATCCGAGGGAACCACCGGAGAGGATCTCTTAGCGATTCACTTTTAGTTCGCGTTGCCTTCCTGGCAACTTTCTACGGGACCTTCTTTACACGAAGGTCCTCTCGCCGCTTTGTGGAGTTTCCATCGTTCGAACGTGGACGCTACGCAAACTTCTATGGGCGACAGAAAGCTTGACGTTAAAGGTTCAACTGCCTCCGGTCGTGTGCAGAAAAATATTGGAGAATCGTGCATGGAAATAACTTTAATTGGACGGATGAATTGTATATCGGGTATCGATAGATGATAATTATTTTCTGAGGAGACATGAGATCGCGCGGAAGATGTTACTTATTGCGATCGCGACGATTCTTTTTTTGTCTACACATCGGCAAGTGGACGGCAAAGTTATTTTCATTCGCGCAAACTCGCGAAACTATCGCATAGTGTCTATCGCGGCGTCCACGCTTCGTCACGAAAGTTTCAGACTCGCGTCGATAAAACTTTCCGTACGGTTATCAGTTACGTGCCGGGCACACCCGCAAGTTACACGGGATAGTTAATAGACTTCTTCGTTTAAAGATTAAAAACTTGCTTGATTAACGGCGTTTAGCACACTTCGTTAGCAATTGAAATATTCTCCGGACCGCCGTAGTAGAGCGACGTCAATTAAGTGCCGCGCCGGGACAGGAAAATTATTCGAGTACGTCTTCAGAATTTCTAACGACTTTCGGGAAAGAGGAAAAGAGATGGAAGAGGCTGACGATGATACTGGCCGCGTAGTCTTTGCGAAGATGATACACAAGTACGCGTCTGGTTGACTAAGCACTTTCTCGTAGAGAAAAGCCGCGATGTCTAGCTCGTAACTTTGCGAATTCTCGCCAATTGTATTACGAACGTGAAAGAATTAGCAAGACTTTCTCATCGGACTTAAAGTTTAAATCGAGTCGTAGGCTTATCGTATATATGAAAAAGAAACGCGCCATAGTTGCTGTATAAGGTGTCCGTTCTCACGCAATTCACGTTGCTCGACCTCATTTTTTCCATGCCAATATTTTTCTTGCCTTCTCGTGGCCGATCCGATGTAAGGCGGCGGTAAGGGAGGGAGAAAGGGTTAGGGAGGTGGGAACGTAGAAAACATAGAACACAGGGGATGGACGTGGAGAGCGGAGCGCGCGGGTGGAAAAATCGGGTTAGGAGGTTAAGCCGCGAATTAATCCAGCCGTCAGACGTGATGTCTAACTTGGTTGATGGTTTGTGCCCTGGCCCCGCCCCAACCCCGGCGTTGCCCCCCTGGCGTTGCCCTGCCGTTGCCCTGCCGTTGCCCTGCCCGGAACGACGGACCCCGACTCGATCGGCAAATGGACCACCACGACCCTACCAACAATCGACAACAACCACCAACCAACCACCAATGAACCAACCACCAACCACCATGGCCCAATCGACAGTACAAAGCCTCAATCATTGTACCCGATTGCCCCGGACCCGAACGGTAATGACCAACACCAACTACTTAATGTTCTTATTTTTCTTTGTCTCTAATTACGAGGTACCTATTAAGACGCCTGCGGCGAGAGCAGCGAATCTTTTTTCTGTATACACCACTACTATTTCCACCTTTCGTAATCTGTCGTGCTATTACTACTCTACTACTCTTCTCTCTTTCTCTTCTATCTATCTATCTAATTATCTGTTTATCTCTGTCTAGAAATCTGTCTTTCTATCTGTCCGTCCAGCTGTCTTATTTCTGTTAATCGATCTGTTTTTTCCGTGTGTCACCATCTTTTTATTTTATCGGCATATTATGTGTTAACGCGACGATCATTTAATCAACACTTCCGTCGTCTACTTTCGTCTCTCGCCGTTTTTTTTCTTTCTCTCTCTCTCTCTCTCTCTCGTTTTTTCATAATCTTTTGTCTCTTGTGCGTGTCCTCTTGACTGTCTCATCGCATGAAATATATTGGAAGTACAGAGGAACATTTCAGAAAATACGATACGCAATAATCGTTTTTCAAATTTAACTCTTGTAAAAATATTTCTATTTTTTATAATTCGCGAACGATATCGACACTGGGAAGTCGATATCCTATTAGATTTAAGCGTTCTCTCAAGAGCGGCTCCTTGCGCGGCTTCGGCTTTGGGTGAAAAATCGGTGGTCTTACAAGCGAAAGCCGACGCAGCACGTGCTGCACCTGTCGTTGGCACGCGGTCTGATTTAACTCGATTTACAGACCGATTTATTCGATCTTGTTTAATCCCACAACGGGAAAACGAGCAATTATTTCGGAAAAAACATGTATTCGCAAATTTCGCCATTAGATCATAGTTAAATTCACCGTTTTTGCGAATGTTACAGGAATATGTGATGCGAGGACACGTAGAAGAATATGTATTTCGCGAATAATTCTTTTTTTTATCTATTTTATATTTTGAATTTTCGAATATGTAAACATTCGCGCGTGTGTGCAACGGATTTGTGCAGTATTTTATGTATGTGATCAGCGTATTCTGAAAATTTCGCTGATCTTCTAAGCTCACTTCTTTTTCTCTTTCACACCTTCCCTTTCTGGTTTAATTTGTTATTTGTTGGTTTTCTCCTGCGTTAAGTGCCACGCAAAAAGACGTGCGCGATCACTCGACACCCACACACGTTTATACACACACGTCGGGATATGTTCTAAACGGTGTCTGTAACATGTGGCTAACACGGAAGCTAATGTGTGGTATGTGACGCACGCGGCCGTAAGGCCGGCTCAGTGTTAAAAGGTTACGATTCAAGGTGTTGTTATCGCGTTGAAAAGCCAACTGTAACCTCTCAAATAATGCTCTCGAACGAGAAACGTCGTGAAATGTCTTTGTTTCATTTCAATCGGAATCAAAGACATAGAGTGAGAGCTAAATTTCGGATAGTCTTAATAACAACAAATTCAAGAGCGTTATTCTGTTTCACAATTCAAACCGACACTCTTTCAACGTGACAAAATACCTTCACTCTTTAGATATTCCGTCCCGATAAGTGATTGTCCCACTGGAAGTACTCTAACGTGATTAATTAACTTGCCAAGTCGAAAGTCATTACCGACACTTCACATCAGTGCCGCGCGCTTTATACGTTTATGCGTATCCAGTCGAAGAGATATTTTAATGATAATTTGTGGACCGGTTGTTACATTCAATCATCTACTTTATCGCGATTGATTATCGATGATCACGTTATATATATCATGCCTCGAGCCGTACGTTCGGTGTCGTTCTCTTATTCTAGTAAAAATTATGTCGCTAGCGCACGAACGCAGGTATTAACGGAAAATTTATCTTCGTCCTGGGACGGCAATAAATTTTTTTATCACCGACGGTGAAGCTCCTCGAGGATGTCCTTAATGCGATTTTCATTCGCGGCTGTACCGATACGGCTGGGAATTTCGCTGGCATGTAATAAAGTACCTTGAAGTCGAGAACGATTCTCCCCGAATAATTCGTGCGATCACCGCGATCTCTTCTCGATACAACGTCAATCGGGCGGATGAAAGTAAACCTTTGAGAAAGTTTCAGAAGTCTCAAGTCAATATTAACGACTCGTTTAAATGCTTCTTTTAAAATGCCAGGGTATTCGCGCGATTTTCTTTCTTTGCGCATAATCGATATTGTCATTCGGTTGCTGTCGACGAGGCGATATATCGTGACACGCGTAGATGGTTGAAGTCTTCGGATATGTTTATTCTACGCTTTCTGAACCGCGGCTTTTAAGGGAATGCTGGAGCGACGGTTGATCGATGTCGATAATACAGACTTTAACTCCAAACTCAGTTTCTTACATTATCGTTCTGTTTTGTTCATACGCGTACATCTGTCTTTATTTTTTAATATTATATATTGCGACATCATCTTTTGCAAGATCTGGTAGACACAATTATTACTTTATTTTACTGTTGACATCGATTTCACTCGCAGCATACAAATGAAATTTTGAGGTTCTCTTTTCTTTTATAACAAGGTCTCTTAACTCATTTCTACAACAAATACTGAAATACAATTTCTAGTTGAAAATGGACGAATCAGAATTTTCTTATCAGAAATTTATTAGGATTTTAGTTGAGATAACAAGAATTCTGATTGATACAATATTTTTGGTAAAATCTACTATTTAATTATGGAATTCTTATTTTTACCAGAATAATTATATCAATCAGAATTCTAGTTATCTCAACTAGAATTCTAGTAGACTTGACCAGAAAATTCTGATTCGTCCATTTTGCACCAGAATTACTATTTAATCCAACCAGACCATTTTTCTCAGTGTAATATTATTCTTTCATATAATCTCTAATGTGATCTAAGCTTATTTTAAACGTACAAAATTTCAAACTCATATGCAACACATGTTGTCACAAATCGACTACAGAAGCTGACGATAAAATTATAATTTTTCGATTTTTTTTGTTTTTTGTATGAAATTGTTTGCGCATTGTGTTTTCGTCTATATACTTTAATTGTGAAGAAGGATTTTTAAATCTGTGTAAATGTAATTAAAAGATTGGAGAATCTAAAAATTAATCACATTTTATAAAACACGAGAGAAACTCCAGCATCCCCTTAAAACGTTCAGTCATCAGACCTTAGAATTGTTCGAGCGCTCTTCAACGTTTTATGCGCCATGAAGATTTCTAACTATGGTGATAGTGTTCTCTTTCTTTCCATCGCTGTCGTAGAGCAGCAGCAAACGTAGCAGTTTAAACTCACCGTCCGCGAATCTCAATATATGCTCGTCTCCTGCGGTTCTCAAAGAAATGACTTTCGACCAGCCAACCCCGTAGCTGTCCGCACCATAACGTCGTGATCCATCGTTACTTTTCTAGAAAGTACCACACCGATCAACTTACATCAAGTATCTCAATCTCAACTCCCTTTAATCGGGATCGCCATTTCTCCACCGATCGATGTTGATCAGTGTAACCGTCCTGTTTTGTCCTCAAACTGGGTTAAGTAGGAAAACTCGTAACGGGTGATGGCAGTTTTCGCCAATCGTTGAGAACGTTGCCGACTAGGATATTCCTAGGAGCGCACATAATAAATAACAAATTAACACGTAACATTTGCGTTTTTAAATACATAGGGTTGCGGAAACGAAGTTAGCCAAAGTCCCCGCAATTCGCGCTGTGCAAGGAAGCGATTATTTTTTCGAAAAGAGCGCGAATAATCGTGGATTAAGTCAACAGCTGAATGCTTCTCCTCGCAGAACCGGCAAAATGTTCAAAAGAGCGCATGCGGAATTTCTATGATATGTATAGCCAGTCGAATGGAAGATACGTGGCTTCAGCTCGTTATAGCAGAGAAGTAGAACGGAAGTGGACGACGAGAAGCGAGGAGGAAGGGCGAAAAGATGAAAAGGAGAGACCGACCTCTCCGTCCATTCCCTCATATTAGCTGGGGGGTGGATTCGTGCCGGTCGTCGTTCCGAAAAGTTTCGTGTTTGTTCTCGATCGTGAGAGAAGATAACGGGAATTCTCGGTGCGCTTCTTAAAGCCGTAGGGAGAAGGGATATCCGAATGCCATCGTCTCCCTTTTCAAAACTTTGAACGTATTGGATACCAATAGAAGGGGAGAAAACAAGTAAACCGTCAATCAACTTCATATCTTCCATGGCAATTATAGGTAATTTGAGAGAAACGAATTACCAACTTCACAGCAGTTTGACCGCAGCGACTTTGAAACTTTCGGATCGCTGAAATAAATTGTACACAGAAAGAATAGTTTTGCTAAAGTATCTAAAAATTTACCTAGATACAGATATGGACATAATTTTGTTAGATCGTCAAAATAATTATATAGGACGTTCGAATGGTCGCTAGAATGTCAGATCTTTTTAATAACATTTTATCATTCGTAACTTCATATTTGATAAAATATAGATCAATCATTTCTACATATAATTGAAGTGCTTAGTAAGTAAAGTAAAACTAAATAACGTCAAAGTAAATATAATGTTCATATTAATATATATGCACTTGGTAAATAATAAACTAAATTTGAGTCAAATTTAATACACTTCTTAAGTTACATTTGTCTAACTCCATGGTTTTAATTAAATTAACGACCTTTTAAGTAGAAGTGGTGGTGACTTATAGAAATGATTAAAAATAACTCGAACTGGGTATAATTTGACATTTAATGTTGCACGTCCTACATACTAATTATAGCCCAACAAAATTATTTGTAACCCTTACCATGTACAATTTGATGCCTCATCCATACCATCAAGGGTCACTAGAATCTCTTCGTTTTTTTCACCTCTTCAAAATAATTCAAAAAATCTCTAAAAATTCACCAACATATTTTTAACTTTCTAGAATAAATATTGACTCTTTATTTTGGAAAATAAATAAAATGTAGTATAATTTATAAAATTACCGAAAGACTCAAAGAGAAACTTGCACGAACAGGAATCGCTTGGTCACTAGTTACCCATATTGGTACAGTAAGGGTTAAAACTGTCTCTAGATTTTAGATACTTGAGGAAAATCGTTCTTTCCGTGTACGTTTTATACGAGGATGACTTAATGGAGAATGGAGACGATGCTCGGGATTTCCCTGTTCCTGTATATCGCCGTTTTCTCGTCGCCGAGCGGCGATGGTTCGGCCGGAAAGGAAGCAGCTCGGTATCGATTACTGTCGGCGGAATTGGTACCGCGTACGTATTACTGCGGGTGTTTTCCGCGACGTGTAATTCGCCCCGGTGGGGACGATCGTAAACGCGATCATTCCGATCGTACGGTACGATTGCAGCTGAATGGATGTAGGTCGGGAAAATACCGTGAGGCCGAATCTAGTCCGAGCTTATGGTCGATCGCCGTGGCCGCGATTGCACGCGATTCTACGTGGTTCTCGCAAGCTGCATCGACGATTCTTGTACATACGTGGCGGAATTGCTGGTGGAATACGCGTCGTATTCGGAGACCGAATTTACCGAGAGTAACGTAGTAAATTTGAATTCCCTTAACGCCGCCCTAGTAACACTCGTAATTTTCGCGAAACGTTGCGAGGTGTCCTCGGAATGGTCCGGATTTATCGCGCGGTGAAAGATTTATGGAGACGCTTCGATAAAGTTCATCTACCCGGATATCTACTATGCGTTGCAGTTGCTTGACAGAGAAAGGTGTTAATCACGCAGTGGTTGCGCGTCCGCGTTCAAAATCAATCTTGTATCGCAACAGCATTAGTCGCGCGCACCGGCGACGAATATCGAACGCGACGTGCGGTTAAATTTGTATCAGGTTTTAATACGCAATGCGTTATCATTGTGAGCGACGTTATGTGCCATCGAGGGTCGTGTTGCCGGTACATTATTATTCTATCGGATTCGAGTCAGCAACGACGGAGTAGAGACGACGCTGCTCGGGATACAATAAACATTCGTAAACGTCGCTGAGACTAAATGCGATGCATCGTACATACATCCAGCTCCGATCGACCCGTGCGTATTTAATTACTTTCTACTCCATTGGGAGGCGCGTTGGAATTTCATCGATGCCTCACTCACTTTGGCTCCGTTCGAAGCGCTCTAACGGGTGACGCCGAAATACCCGCGAGAAAAAGGGAGGAAGGGGAGGGGAGGGGTGGCATCGCTGGTTGATGTAATCACACGCGAACGCGTTTCTCGTACGCACGTACGCCATTCGCACCGGGTTGTATGGTCGATATAGCACATACGCGAAATCACGACGCAGCGGTAAGATCAGTGTAATTCTGGGAGTTCTTCTGATTCTAGGGTGCTCACCATCAGCTCGGACCTGCCCACTGTTTTGCAAGTGTTGAACGAGGTCGTACCTAATCTGGAGGAGGTAAGTGCTGGACTCTTGTCCTAAAGCCTTGTATCTGCGCTCTAAAAAATATCGATGTGGATTTGACACCATGGGTGTCTGTGGGTGCTTTCCATTTGATGACACGAGTCAACACAAAAGTATCGTTTTATCTTTATCATTCTCTAAATATCAAGAAGAGAGAGAGGATAGAACGACGCTTGTGTCGACTTGTGTCATCAAATGGAAAGCACTCTGTATGATTCTCATTGTGCTGGTGTTAATGTGAACACCATCATGATGCGGATTTAACGCTATGGGTTCTAAATTCACACCATGATGGTGTTGATTAAACACTAATTATTAGTGTTAATATTAACACCACGATGAGAATTATATAAACATGATATTAAATCCACATGAATATTTTTTAGAGTACACAATGCTAGAAATCGCTCCGAGATCTCGGACGGAGAAAGAATTAACATTTGAACAATTCGGCTATTTGGCCAATGTGTGATTGGTCAATTCATTCTCTGTCCGAGATCTTGAAACGATTTCTAACATCGTGAACATGTTTTATCTGTCTCTTTCGAATCGTTTGTACGCGATTCCGCGCGCTTTCATGCTCCTCTTAATCCAGTTCGGGATCGCGACGATCGATTCTTTCTGCCATAGATGTAGCGCATTCCAAATTTCCACGACTTATTGTAGACACAATTTCAGAATGGTTCCCGCCATGGCAGCGACGAGATCGACGTGCGCATGCTAGTGCATCAGAGCCAAGCGGGATGCATCATCGGCAAAGCAGGTCTGAAAATCAAGGAGCTCCGTGAGGTGAGTCATTCATTCTAGATAATTATGACTCGTGATTAAAGATGACATAACGCGTTTTCTTGGCGTTTTCTTGGCGAAACAGTTGACGCAATTTCGCGGCATATTATTGCGTTTATATAATTTTGCATGAACAAATCGGCGCATTGGAAATACAAAACGACACGAGTATGAAAACGTAAGAATGAAGAGAAACTGAGCAAGAACAAAAGATGTTCTTGTCGCTGAAATCCTTTTATAGTTTCAAACTATATGTCAACTTATCCAGTATCGGATATTTAATTTATCAATTGATACAACACACACACACACACACATCAAAGTAGTGACGCCAGCAGTTTGGAAGTAAATCCAGCCCTTCCTTCGACGGGGCTCTCACGGTGCTTTTATTTTATTAACAATTCACCGGCGATCGCCAAGTTTTGCCTCCGCGCATGCAAACACTGAGATCGGTTTATGTACTTTAAAGCGTGTATTAACTTATTAACGAAGCGAGAGACAGAGAGCTCGAAACTTTGAGGTGAGCTTGTTTATAATGTATTTAAACTCTCTCAGTTTAATTATGGGCACAAGGGAACTTTCGCGACTCGTATATTGAAACGAAAATTTCTCGGATAGATACTTTGGATATTACATATATTTCCGCTGCGAAAGATACACAAATTATTGATATTTAAAGATTTGTATGGAGAGAGAGAAGATTGTTTTGTTCCTCTCTCTTCTGGGAATGGCAACAAAGCGACGTAGCTCGATGGAACGACAATTCAGTCCTCTTTAATTAGCGATCTCTCCAACATTGTGGTTTGGATTTTACATAACGAACTCTATACTCGTCCGGATTTTCCAGTGAAGGACTCGGCACGCTGGCTGGCTGACTAGTTGGCCCATTCTGAAATATGCAACGTGGCCAAGTGGCTTGTTACGTTTTCGCGTTCACGAGAAACAAAAATATAGTCGACCGACCGACCGACCGAGCTTTTGTCTCTTCTTGAACCAACGAGTGCTCGAGTTGGAATGCCGTTACTTTCTTCTTCTGTTGCGCCTTACTGTTTGTCTCCAAACGATTCGTCTATCATTTTCTTTTCTTTTTTTTTTGGCTCAACTAATTTAAAATATTTGAAAAATCAGTGACAAATTCGGAAAATGACGGTAGCGCGTTGTTTTGGAATACCTTGTTCAGGATTGTTACAGACCTGGAAAACCAAGAAAACCGGGAAAGGTCAGAGGAAAATGTAAAAAAAAGTCTGGAATTTTGAAATTTGCTCACAATTTCCTTAAACTGCTCCTATTCTAGATAATTGTTATAATTTTTTAATATTATATCTGACGTTTATAGTGAAATATGTTCAAAACTCACACACTTTAAACAATTTTGATAAAATAATTAAAATTTATATTTTAATTAATATTTTTATTTGATCGCCGTTTTTCATAACTGCATTTTTTTCCAATACTAATTTATTTTTTATTGGCTTGAATTAGCATCCAAAATTTTAGTGTGCTACTAACCTTTTTTGCGTTGTTTTTAATAATATATGCTAGCTTTCCTACAATTCTTGACTTTAATGTGTTAAAATTTACATATTTTATGTTGGAAAATTTTCCATTTTTATCTGAAAAACCTAGAAAAGTCAGGGAATTTTAAAATTAATTTTTTGTGGCAACCCTGCGTGTTATTTTGCGGTTAATTAAATTTTTGTAACTTTTGTTACCTCGAATTATTCTCCTCGATACTTCAATTATTAACACGATGAAATCAAGTGGAACAATAATCATGCATAAAACAGTAATCATATGTAAAGTAAAATTACAACATAATAAACAAAAACGTTTTATAAAGCGTTATTTCCCTTTATGGTTTTTAATTGGTTATACTGTTGTAGTGGTGCATACCGGTTAATTAATCAGAGCATGTTAATCCACGAGAATTTTATTTACTGTATTTACTGTATTTCTCCACTATTGCCATTATTAGTCGGTTGCAAGCGAATTTAACAAATTCCATGTAGCGCCTGTATATTCGCGCAACGCGCGGAATAATGTTGTTTGGTAATTTGCTGAAAACTTATTCGTAATTTCGTCAGCCTCCCCGGTGAAGAGCAGCCGAGATAATTAGTCTATTAGAGTTTAGTTAACTGCCTCGTCAGATAATACATTTAAACGTATTGCTTGAGAGTGAGGGAGAGTTAGAACAATCGAATTTCGTAACATGATGTTATACCAAAAAGGGAACCCAACGAGCTTTTATAATCAATCAAGAAAAATGTTTATTCATTTTACATTTTATGTACAGCGAGCTTTAAACTTTTTAACCGATGTGTCGAGACGAGAAAAATAAAGCGCAACAATTAAGGAAAAATCCGATGGTTTTGTTTGGCTGTTAATCAAAATTTATATACCCCTGAATAATTTGACGCGATTCACAAGAAGAAAAACACGAAAATTGCCCTTCGTATTTTATAATAAAAGCAACCAACGCAAGTCAGAAGATCTCCTTTACCTTTACTCCTCCCTCGAACGGGGGACGGAAGACACGGCACCGCCACTCGGCGACATCGCCAAGTCGTTTTATTTCGATTCCGCGGGGGTTGGTAGGGGTAACTTTATTGATTTTGAACGGGAATTCCAGCGTGGTCTTTTTTTTTTTATCGTGTCATCGAGGATTCCGTCTCGCTGCCAGAAAACGTGCAGCTCTCTCTGATCGCCGGCTTTCTCATCGTCGGGGAGATAAAGATTGAACGGGTTGTTTATTATTCCGCGCGGGTACGATGCGCGCAATTGTCCGGAATTCTATTTTCTTTGCCCTTTTTCGAACGGGAAAGGAAGGTTCTTTCCCGTAATTTATACATAGGCGCGAACGGAACGGTACAGATTGTCAAAACGTGCGGCTTGAATAGGTCGCAATTTTCTGCCACGCGAAAGGCTGGTCGAGCGGTCTGTTTACCGCACGAATTATTACGCGGCTGATACAACAATGCGTGACGGTGTGACGCACGAACAATGTTCGGGACGATGAGAATTGCGAACGATCGAAATTTATCGACTGATTGAAGCACGAGCGCGAGCGCCATGGAACCGCAGTTGCGGGTTTATCACCCCTAATTAACCCCTCGAGTTTCCCAGCCGCTCGATAACAGACTAGTTAATTGCAGAGTAATGTGTGATTTCAGTTGACAACGTCAAACAACTCGAAACAACTCGAATCAATATTTGCTCAACGATAACGATGACGACGGTTAACTTACTCCGCTTGACCGACTTCCGAAACGTTGCTGGGCATTTCTGCCGAAAAATTCTTTGAATATCCTCGTTCTGTAAAATACTACTTCTAAGTATTATCGAAATGGAATTTTCGATGATACGAGATCCTGCAAATAGATTAGGTGTGTTTTTATTTATATCATACACTCTGTTGAGAGACGGCCAATTATGACAAACTAATAATAAAGGATATAAATTATTGATTGTATTAATGTGTTAGGTATATTAAAATTGTTGAACAAAATTAGTTTCGACTTTACGAAGTTTTCTTCAGTCGCGTATGATTTACCAAAATACAAATTTAATTAAATATAATAAAAGATTAAATGCCATATGGATAAAAATTGATAGAGTCACATTGTTTTTCATTGCTGCACTGGATTACATTAGAACTTTTCTTGTCGCTTTTGTCAAATATTAAACATACTCTCTAAAATCTTTGAAGTGGAATGTAGCTCTAAAGAGTGAAATCTCGCTTTTAAAAATTGACAATTGAGTTACTCTTTTTCAACATTGGCTCAATTGTCATTCTTTATCACTCTTTAGAATTAGGTTCTACTCTAAAAATTTTAGAAAGTACCTATACTTATTTCATTTTAAATACAAAGAATGTCAGTGTTGCCACAGACCTGGAAAATCGGAAAAAGTCAGGGAAAAATGTAAAAAAGTCTGGAATTTCGAAATTTGCTCGCAATTTCCTTAAACTGTTTCTATTCCAAGTAATTGTTGTAATTTTTTAAATATTATATCTAATGTTTAGTCAAATACATTCAAAACTTGCGCACTTCAGAGGATTTTAATAAAATAATAAAAATTTATATTTTATTCAGTATTTTTATTTGATTCTTTTTTCGTCATAACTGGATTCTTTTTTCCAAAACTAATTTATTTTTTGCTAGCTTGAATTTGGACCCAAAATTTTACTATGCTACTAAGCTTTTTTTGCGTTGTTTTTAATATTATAGACTAGCTTTCCTACAATTCTTGAGTCTAAATGTTAAAATTTACATATTTTATATTAGTCATGGAAAATTTTCCATTTTCACCTGGAAAAATTAGGGAATTTCAAAATTTATTTTCTGTGGCAACCCTGAATATACGCTAGTTATAAAATACAATTAAGTACGAAGAATGTATACAGCTATAAAAAACAGACTTAATGACTGATAGTCCGGATATTTCTTGATAACAATGTCTGAGGAATGTGAAAAGAATATGAGATGCGGGAGAGAGAAAATATGCATGACACGAGATATGATGGTGATATGAGGCGCGATGCGCTTGCGTTTGTGAGTATAATGGCGAACATGATCGTACACTTTGAAAAGGGTCCACAATATCGACATGGTGTAGTCCAATAATTGCGCAACCTTTATTAAAGATCATTTTTAGAGAGCCATTTTTACACTGAGAAAAAATTGTTCATTTAATTAAATTTCGTTCGTCTTTATTTCTTTCAATGAAAAATGTATAGACGGGAAAAAATGATCTGGTTGAATTAAATAGTAATTCTGTTGGAAAACTCTAACACACACAACACACACACGAATCAGAATTTTCTATTTAAATCTATTAAAATTCTAGTTGAGATTATTCGAATTTTGATTGATATAATTATTTTGGTAAAAATAAGAATTCTAGTAGATTTTACCAGAAATATTGTATCAGAATTCCGGTTATCTCAATTAGAATTCTAATAAATTTAAAAATAAATAAATCAGAAAATTCTGATTTATTTATTT